GCCAACACTAAATATACGTCGAAGCACCTCAGACTGAAACGTAGTGTGCGACTTGGTGTCAACATACAAACTGGCCGCCTGCAGTGGTGTCCTGGTGTAACTTGTTGTAAAGTTTTTATTATTCTTCCAGTGGTTTTGTTGCCAATAACAATTGTACTCATTCTATTAATGCGCATGGACAATATGCTAACAGCACTGCGGTTGCAGCGAGAGCAGCAACTGCCGCAAGGAGATCATTACGAATATTCGCCACGTCAGGATCATTATCGATTGGATTTCCCAACGGCTAAATGCGATGAGATCGATGATATAGTGAAAGAGCAGTTTATACTCCCTGTGGATATGAGTAAAAAGGACGAAAGTGAACAGGAGCGCATCAAGCGCTGCATATCATTTAAGTTTGGTTTCAGTGAGGGAATAGAAGTGGAGGATCGGGATATAATGAAAGACGCGCGGACATCTTTTCTACCGCAAGATACCACTGCAATACCCCGTGAATGTCTGAATAAACTCAACTCAGTTAATGCGGATCAAAACTTTGTGAATGAAATATGGGAGCAGATTCTCCGACGTCGTTCACGCAACACCGGTGAGACTGGAGTTAGCGAGGCAAAATCTGAATCGGTTGATGATGGGTCCAGCAACACACAGAATTCGCTTAGCGAAGAGGATGCGCGACTTTTTGGCTCAACATCAGCGTTACAGACATTTTGGAATGANGACGCGCGGACATCTTTTCTACCGCAAGATACCACTGCAATACCCCGTGAATGTCTGAATAAACTCAACTCAGTTAATGCGGATCAAAACTTTGTGAATGAAATATGGGAGCAGATTCTCCGACGTCGTTCACGCAACACCGGTGAGACTGGAGTTAGCGAGGCAAAATCTGAATCGGTTGATGATGGGTCCAGCAACACACAGAATTCGCTTAGCGAAGAGGATGCGCGACTTTTTGGCTCAACATCAGCGTTACAGACATTTTGGAATGAGGAGGGTACTAAAGAAAGTATACGAGAAGCCCAAGCAAAGACAATGAAAGAGTACATGGACACCAGAATTAATCCTTGCACTGATTTCTATAAATATGCTTGCGGTAACTGGGAGCGTCTGCATCCTATACCAAAGGATAAGGCTGGATTTGACACCTTTGAGATGCTACGTGAAAATCTAGATGTTGTATTAAGGGAACTGTTGGAGGCTAAACGAACCACGGAGCCGCCCACATCTCAAAATAAAGTAGTAGACATTCAAAACAATAATTATGGCCACAGCATCGAAACACGTGCAGATATTATTAAATTCAGTTCATCGGTACCCAGTGCAGTGGTTGGAGTGAACAAGAAAGAAGATTTACCTAAAGCTTCAGGTCAAGATCAACTAAAAGAAAGAGTCACGCGTCTTCGACGACACATCGTACACCACCGGGATGCTTTAGGCGTCGTCTTACGTCGTTACAAGCGCCAACAGGCCATCTCAAATAAAAGGAAGCGCTTAATTACTTTATTCGGACTGGGTAACCTTTCATCCGACAGTATTAGCAGTTCCGAGTATGTTGACAACGACGATGCACAACTAAAAGCGAAATATCTTTATCAGTCGTGTATAAATGATGATCTTCTTCAGAAGCGTGGTATTAAACCGCTTACAAAATTAATTGAAAATCTCGGTGGTTGGCCCGTACTAAATCCAAATTGGAATCAACAAAACTTTGATTGGCTCAATTTAACCGCACAATTGNCTTCAGAAGCGTGGTATTAAACCGCTTACAAAATTAATTGAAAATCTCGGCGGTTGGCCCGTACTAAATCCAAATTGGAATCAACAAAACTTTGATTGGCTCAATTTAACCGCACAATTACGGCGTTACAATAACGATATTCTCATTGTTGAGTGGGTGGGGCCAGATATTAAGAATTCCGATGAGAACATTATACAATTCGATCAGACCAGTCTTGGTTTACCCACACGAGAATATTTCCTACAGGACATGAATGCTCGATATTTGACAGCATATCAGTTATTCATGTCGGAGATAATGCAAAAGTTGGGTGCGTCACGTGAGCGCGCCATAAAAACGGCCGCCGAAGTGGTGGGCTTCGAAACACGGCTCGCCTCGATAACAGCACCGGCAGAGCAACGCCTGAATGTGACCAAGCTGTATAACCGAATGACGCTGAATCAATTGCACCAGGCGGTACCGGAAATAAACTGGCTTCGTTACCTAAGCATTCTCCAGGATCGAAATGTTCGCGACTCTGAAGAGGTGGTCATCTATGCCTTAGATTATATGAACGATCTCGTTCGTTTATTACACACAACCAACCCTGCTACTGTATCTAATTATTTGCTTTGGCGTTTTGTGCGTCACCGCATAAACAATGTTGATGATCGTTTCGAGGATACCAAACAAAATTTTTATCACTCCCTATTCGGACGTGAAGAGAGTCCACTTCGTTGGAAAGTCTGTATTGCACAAGTAAATACCAACATGGGCATGGCCCTAGGCTCGATGTTTGTACGCAAATATTTCGATGAAAATAGCAAACGAGACACGCTTAAAATGACACACGAGTTACAACAAGCTTTTCGTGAAATCTTAAAAAACACAGACTGGCTCGATTCGAGCACTAAGCACTTAGCCGAACTCAAAGTTAACGCCATGTCTTTAAAAATAGGTTACCCAGACTTCATACTAAACCCAATCGAACTGAACGAAAAATATTCAGGCATTCGCATTCACCCAGAAAAATATTTTGAAAATACTCTTAACGTGCTTCTGCACACTGCCAAAACGGAACAAAACAAGTTACGGGAATCGGTAAATAAAACAACTTGGCAGACAGCCCCAGCAATTGTAAATGCGTACTACAGCCGCAACAAAAATCAAATCATGTTTCCGGCTGGCATACTCCAACCACCTTTCTACCATCGTCACTTTCCTCGTTCATTAAATTTTGGAGGGATCGGCGTTGTAATCGGGCATGAGCTTACTCATGGTTTTGACGATAAGGGACGACTATTCGATCGCAATGGCAGCATACACAAATGGTGGACAGATGCATCAATTAAGGGTTTCGATGAACGAGCGCGCTGTATAATTACCCAGTACAGCAATTACACAGTGGGAGAGGTCGGCATATCACTTAACGGCGAGAGCACTCAAGGTGAGCGTAAAATAAAT